GGCAGCCTTAGCATGGCCATTATACTGAGGAGTAAAGGAAGCACTGAAATACTGATATTTTTATCATCCACTCAGAAAGTCTTACCACTTTACAGGCCAGTATTACCAAGTTTATGAAGCTTATGCAGTTATGGGATTAGACCAACCTTGGGGAACTATTTGGCATAGCATGAGAGATCCCCCCAAGTCTTCCTTCCGTAAGTTTGCTCTTCACCCCCAACTACTGCACTTGGCCCTACCATTCAAAACCATGTTTAACATTTTAAAAGTTCTATGAAAAAGAATCTCATCGTATAGTTTTGTGAGCTTCCATGGTGTCCCTTCTTCCTAAGAATCAGTGATGGCTTTCCCCCTTAGAACCACTTACTTAGTATTATAACTGCTGTTAGTAATGTTGTATAGGAAAATTTAGCCACTCATTTGGTTGAGATGAAGCAGAGAATCCTATCTAAGGATACTATCATGTGTTAAGCTAAATAAAACAGTGGACCATTCTTAAAGAATGTAATATAACATTCTGCTGAAAACTTTGTACACCAAATATATGTCTTTATAAAATCGCAACAGCATTAATTCTAGTAGCAACTGTGGTTTTGATCCCAGTTGTGTTAGCAAAACAAAACAGCTTCAGGAAGGAAACATCCATTTTGGCTCACAGTTTTAAACATATCAGTCCATCATGGTGCTAAGACATAGTGGAGCAGTAACTCATATCAGGGCAGCCAGGAAGCAAAGGGAAAACACCAGTGTACAAAGCTTTCCTTTGTCTTTTTTGTCCCATCTGGGCCCCCACCCTAAGAGCAGTGCCTCCCATGTTCAAAGTGGGTTCTAAGAATGCTTTCAATGAAACCCAGGTGTATGCCTTACTGGTCACCTAGGCACTTACTTCTCAATCCAGTCAGGCTGGCATTATGGTTAACCGCCACACAGCGAATCTAAACCTAGTACAACTAAAAATGGGATATAATAGTCAAATTATGGGAGTAGGTAGAAATTTGAGAGGATGGAAAATGCGAAGTCCCTTGCAGTTATAAGATCACTCTTAAGAGGGAATACAGCCACACTATTGTGTAACTATTACCATGCTCTATCTCAAGACTATTTTCATCATGTGAGACTAAAACTGTACTCTAAACAGTAATTCCCATTTCTTCCTAGCCCACGGAAGTCACCATTTTATTATCGTGTCTCTGAATTTGACTACTATCATATGAATAAAATCTACACAGTTCATCCTTTTCTTTTTTTTTTTTTTTTTTTTTTTTTTGGTTTTTCGAGACAGGGTTTCTCTGTGTAGCTTTGCGCCTTTCCTGGAACTCACTTGGTAGCCCAGGCTGGCCTCGAACTCACAGAGATCCGCCTGGCTCTGCCTCCCGAGTGCTGGGATTAAAGGCGTGCGCCACCACCGCCCGACAGTTCATCCTTTTCTAACTGGCTTATTTTACTCAGGGTAATGTCTTCAGGGTTCATCTATAGTGTAGTAAGTGTCAGATTTATTTTTTATTTTTTATTTATTAATATTTTAATTAAGATATAATTATACCATTTCCCCCTAACCCTTTCTATGTCCCCATTCACTCCCTTTCTAATTGGTGGCCTATTTCTCTTTGGTCATTATTGGTACACACACATGTACACATAACTACAACTGCTGAGTCTAGTGCGGTTTACTACAGGCAGCTAATGACCACTAAGGGAGAATTAGCCTCTCCCAGAGATGCGCTTTCTAATTGGTTATCCAATACAAAGTAGTCAGGCCTGAAATCAAATTTCATTTTTAAAGCTGACTAATATCCACATATGTACATACCACGTATTAATTCATCTCCCACCAGCCACTTAGGCTGCTTCTACCATTTTGCCATTTTAACAATGCTGTCATAAGCATTGTTTTATACATGTCCATTCATGTTCTGGCTTTCAGTTCATTTTGGAGTTTTAATCCCTGAATCATGGTAATTCTATTTTTAATATTTTGAGAAACCGCTGGGCGGTGGTGGCGGCACACGCCTTTAATCCCAGCACTCGGAGGCAGAGGCAGGTGGATCTCTGTGAGTTCGAGGCCAGCTTGGTCTCCAAAGCGAGTTCCAGGAAAGGCACAAAGCTACACAGAAAAACCCTGTCTCGAAAAACCAAAAAAAAATAATAATAATAATTTTTTTTTGAGAAACCGCATTGTTTAAATAGTGCTCTACTGGTTTACACTCTCATCATCAGTGTGCAGGGGTTTTTATTTCTCTGCATCCTTGCCATACTGCTTATTGTGTATTTTTTCCTATAATATCGCACTAGTAGTAGTGCCCAATTTTTATAACGCTCCTTGCTTTCTTTTGCAACAGTTTCTTGCTGTGTACCCCAGCCTGGCCTTACGCTCTGGCTCTCCTGCCACAGCCTCCTGAATGTTGCGGTTACAGATATATATCATCCTATTTGCTTGCATGGGGTTTGTTGTTGTTGTTGTTGTTTATTTATTTACTTTTTAAACAAAATAGTAGTCTTAAGAGGCAGTTATAACTTTAGAACTTCCAGAAAGATCCTGTGTCTGGTCAAGTTTTACCTGTTCTTCCTTATGTGTTTCATCTGTTTCTGTTCCGTTCCTGTTGACTCAAGAGTAATCCATTTAGTATCATTTCATCCTCTTCTATCAGCTGTTCATGGATAAAGGAATATCTGTGTAAGCAGTAGATACTTAATAATTGATAACTATCCAATTCTGATTGAGAGGTAAGGATAAATTGTCATAAATTCATCTACTAAGTTTGTTCTTCTTTAAGTGATCTTTAATTTTTTTTTCTCTCTCAAGACCTATGTGATTAGTTTGAATGCATTATTAATAAACTCTGAGACACCAATAATGCCTCAGTGTCACCTTAAGGAAAGAAATCAAAGCACTTCTCCTTCATGTCATCTAACCAATAACAAACCCAGATTTGAACTCGTCACTTCACCCTCCCAATGTCTTCTGTCCTTCTTGTCTGTCTGTGAGTCTGAATCTGTGCCTGCCTGAAGGCTGTCTTGTGAATCTGTGTCTGTCCCTAACAGAGGTCTTTGTCTTGTATGTATTGAGCATCACAAAAACTATCACATTGGGAAGGAATGAGGGATATTTTATAGAAATCTTTAACAGTTTCACAAGGAATTTAAGTCACTGACTTCAACTGGCCCAGATAACAAACAGTATTACAAGTATAATTGTTTATCAAGCAGTACCCAAGTTTTGCAGCATTTATGGTGGATATTTATTCATAAGACTGCTTTCAGCCTATGTGCTGTTTCCAGCAAATGATTCTCAGAATACACATGCATTACTCTGGGTCAGGGCCATGGGAGATTACACGATTTAAGATTACAGTTATGCATTAGCCTTGTTGTAAAAGTTGATTATATGGGAAATCCAAGGCATTGGCAAGCTAAACAAACAGACTGAGTACACAATAGAATAGCAGTCCTCAAGATGTATTACTAGCTCTGACTGAGGTCCAGAAAAGACTCCAGTCTCTTAGCATGGGAGAGATGTTTTTTTCATAATGCATTACCATAGATCTGAGATTCCCTCTCTGAAAACATGTGACATTGAGCAAGTTGCACAAATTTCTCTATAGGCTGAACTAAGTCATTTCTCAGATGTCTTCTCCTGTTGCCTTTTAAATCTTAGGATACTTATTACCAGTTGCTTACTACTCTGCTACCTTCAGTAAACCTCATCTTTAGATTCTAAACAAACATAAAATAGATTATAGCCTATTTTAACTCAACTCACTTTCTTAAAAGTTTTACATTTCCTTGGCTTCATAGATGTACTTTTTATCTAATCGGAACACAGAATTACTTTTTCTAAGAATTAGTCAATGATAATATAGCAATAATATTTTGAGCAGTATCAGGGCGAGCTTTGTGTTCTTATAAAAGCTAATGTCACAGCATTTAAAAACAAAGAAAAATGCTCTAGTAATTTTCTAGGATCTATATTTTTAGGAGAGGTTCTATAAAACAGAATATAATACAATCTTTTACAGAATGCTCTAACTTTCTAATACTTGAGGTAATTTCTGCCTCAGAGGTCAAGAAGTACTTTTAATACTGAATTTGGAAAACCAGTTTTAATTTATATTGACCTTTCTCTCCTTTGCGTATTCAGTTTGCAATCAATAAAATGTTGATGACTGCTCTTTCGAAGCAGCTGTACAGAATAAAGTATTATAAATATTCAACTTTCCTCTCTAAGCATTGTCACCAACAGCTGGGCATCCCATTTAGCAGAACACATTTTACACACACAGAGCCTGGCACGCTCCTGAATCAGTGTAGTGAAGGAAGCAAAAAATAGTTTCTTGTGGATTGGGGACTTATAAAGACATGGAGCATCTGTTCCCCGGTTAAGTCATAGTCTGCTTGCTCTGAATCATGTCCAATGCTAGGATAATGTGCAAAGCCTAGCCTTACAAATACCTGCACCACTTAGCACTCTGTTCCTGCAAATGGTAGATTTTTCAGTGTCTCTATCAAAGATATTTAATTATTTTGCTGTTATGTATAATTTTTCCTCATAATATTTTTATGCAGAGAACTAATTTTTTTACTGAAATTTTTCTATAATAAAAGCTAGTCTGGGGATATAGTTCAGTGGTAGGGCTCTTAGCTAGCAAGCACAGGGCTTCATTTCAGTACCAGTACCACCACCAAAAAAGAATAAAACTAATATTTAAATTTTTTGGTAGTACTTGTATATAAGCTGTATATATGAAGAAGTGATCCATTTAAATGTTTAGTTAGGATCCCATATTAAAATATGCTACTAGAAATAAACATCAAATAAAAACATTAAGAAATCCAAATTTATCATCATAATTATTTTTTCATGTGGAATTTAGTTTTAACAAACAATATAAAAATTAGTTGGTAAAAATAATTTGGACTCAATTATTTTTATTTTATCCTAAAATATCAGCCTAAAATAAAGCATGTCAGATCTAAAATTTCTTTAAATGTTTTATTTGCAGAGTTAAAAGATCACTGAAACTGGATGATCAGTTTGAAGAAAATGTAAGTATTAGTTTTTTAATTGTGATTGCAGCCTGGCAGTAGCACATGCCTATAATCCTAGTACATGCTAGGTGGAGGCAGAAGTACCCTGAGTTCAAGATAATCCTTGGCTACATAGTCACCTGTGTTTCATGAGAGGGAGGAGGGTTGGGACAGATAGGGGAAGAAGGAGAGAGTGAGCATTGTGATTACATGATTGTGATTGTGTTTTTAACGTTCGCTTATTGATTTACCTTGCTAAGTATAACATTTATCAAAAACATGACACAGTTGTTATTGATACAGAGTTGTCCGAATAGAAAATCTTTTTCTAATCTAGCATGCCAGATTTCTGGTCAGCTTGAGATAGACTTGTGAGAAACAAATTGTTTAGTAATCTTTATAAAAATAATTTAGTAGAAATCAGTTTATAGAAGTTTGCCCCCTCTCTCTATATATAGATATATAGACAATGTCTATATATTTCATATATATAAGACTAAATGTTTCTAATGTATAAGAAACAGTAGGATAATAGCAATATTTTAATCTATATTGTAATCTACCAAAGTAATGAAAATGTAATGGCATTGTCATATCAAAAAGCAATAATTTGCCTCAGCTATGCTGGCGTAGAGTAAATGATAGAGTACTGGCAGTATAATAAAATTTATCATGGTAATCACAAAAAAATAAAATTGTGTTGTTGGTATAATTTTCTAAATCTAGTCATAGAATATTCCCAGTGCCAACGTGTTAGCACATGTTAGCTAATAATATTTCCATACCAACTATGCATTTAGATACAAACACTGACTGACATACTTATGATTTCTCTAATGTTAAATGTAAATAATTGGTAAGGAAGTAAATTAAAGCAAATTGCTAGTTAATAAATGGGCTCTTACAAAATCCCATGAGACTGCCACTTCAAGAAATGGTGGCACACACTTTTTTTTGGTTTTTCGAGGCAGGGTTTCTCTGTGTAGTTTTGTGCCTTTCCTGGAACTCACTTTGTAGCCCAGGCTGGCCTCGAACTCACAGAGATCCTCCTGCCTCTGCCTCCCGAGTGCTGGGATTAAAGGCGTGCGCCACCACCGCCCGGCACGACACACACTTTTAATCCCAGCATTCAGACAGCAGGGGCAGGTGGATCTCTTGAGTTTGAGACCAGTCTGTTCTACAGAGGGTGTTCCAGGACAGCCAGGGCTACAGAGAGGAACCATGTCTTGGGTGGGTGGGTGGGGTTCTTTTTGGAAGACTCATTGGCTTTAACAAAACAGAATACCATCATTTAAAAACCCTCCTGGTTGCTTTTTTTTGAAAAAAAACTACACAAAGGTGGCAAAATACTGCAGTGGCACTAAAAACATCATTAAAGGTGTAATTAGCAATTTAGAGTACCATTATCCAACTTGTTGTATGCAGAATGCAGCTGTGACTGTAATTCTGCATCTGTTTCTTTGGTCAGAATGGCATTTTGGTAGATGAGTAGTCCAGCTTGAAATGAATCCTGTTCCTCCTGCCCCAGAGCTGTTCTTTGGGAATTAGAAGCAGCATCTAAATGGGGCAAAAAATGACCATTTTGAACCCATTCTCTTCATGGGCACAATTGTCAGCATGGCAGACTTTCCATCTCTGTTTTTCTTCATATGAGGGTGTGTCTAAGAAATAGCCTGTGTTAGAAGAACACGTTATATTTGGCCTGGGTCTGTACTTTTAAACCAGCTATCTTGAATATTAAATCAGTTTTTTAACTTGCTCTTGATTTGTTCATATTTCTCGTTGTTCATGATTTAATCTGGGTGGGTTTTATGTCTTAAGGAACTTGTTCATTTTGTCCAATCTATTTAATCTGTTAAAACATAGGGTCATTCATTCGTATTTCCTTAAGATCTGTTCTGTTTCTCCAAAGTCAGTGGATTGAGCAGCACTAGTCAGAACATCTGAAATGCTCTTAATTTTAGAATTTCTAGCAATAAACATGAAGTTATATTTTCCTCTGCCTTTTGGCCAATCTTGTGACCTTCTTAGGATGATTTTTTGTGTGTCTATGTAAAAGTTCCTAGGCAGTTTTCATGGCTATTTCCATCCTCCCTTTCTTGGTCTTCAACCTGGGGTCATGTACACATCCCTCAGTGTGTCCCCTGCATCTGTCCTGTTTCGACTCGGTGATGCAGGTTCACAGCAGTGTTACAGTATGTAAATGAACCTGGCTCTCTGTTTAACTCCTGTGCTGTCACATTTTTCTCTGCAGCAGGGCAGATCACTGGCTGCAGATATTGTGAAAAATCCTCACTAATGGGTCGTTCTGGAAGCCAAAAGCCCAGAATTTTGAAAGGTTAAGTGTTTTCATGCGTTCATTTGGATAACATCACAGATGGTTGCTTGGGGGACTGTCACTAGATGTGCTTATTTGATGGTTGATTTGCTATACCAGGTATTTCCTTTGTGTTCAGCTAGCATTCTAAAAACCTGTGCTTACCAACTCGGAGGTTGGTTTTTGCTTTTTGTTTTTTGTTTTGTTTTGTTTACATACACACAATCATTGTACATGGCAGCTGTAACATCCTTCACAGTGAAGGATGACTCTGGCATGTGATGCAAGATATGTTCCTAGAATTAGAGGTTTGCAGTAGGGATCCTTTGTTACATGTAACCCTGCCTCCCTTGCTAGGTCGTTCTCTTGGCCCTGGCCTAGGCTATACCCTATCTCCACCACATTCCCATTTATACTCATTTCCAGTCTCCCAGTAGAAGGAGACCATGCTATTTTGCCTGCCTACTAAAACCAAGTCTTGGGCTGGTGAGATGGTTCTACATACAAAGGTGCTAGGCAAACAAGCCCGGTGAACTGAGTTCAGTCTATGAAACTCAATCAGTTCCACAAAGTTGTCCTCTGACCTTTACATATACACCCCCCCCCACACACACACACACGTACACACACCTAATAAAAGATGAAAACAAAAGCTCTCATGAAACATTCTCAAACAAGAAGAGTTTCACAAAGACACTGGTAGAAAAGCTACCTCTTATTGGAGAAAGTGTGGCATTTAAGTAGATTGTATGTCTCAAGTCCCTGTTCTCTGTGGTAAGAAGACAAGAAGAAAAGTATGCCTGCTGGCAGACCTCACACTGCAGCCAGATTGTCTGTGATTGCTTGTGTATCTGAGTACACAATACAGGAAGGAAGCCCTTTCATTAACATATGCAAGTTTTAAATATTTATATTTAAGAATATTTAAATATACAGGGTACGTCATTTTCATATATCAGGTTCATTTGACTTCCTGAAAAAAGTCAAAACCAAGATGTTATCCAAAGAACAAATAATGTCACTGTGGCCCAGGGTAGGAGGCAGTAATACATTTATAGCTCCCTTATTGCCTGTCACACTCAGTGCTCAGGACAGTTCCCCACTCTATCCTTGCCCCATCTACCTAAGAGATTCCCTCTTGAAAGATGGAGTGACTTGAGGATTAAGTCCATTAGCCTGGTTTTATGCTTACCCTTTCTGTTGTGGCATAGAAAGTATATTCCTAAAAGAGAAAATAACTTCACAATCCAACACACACACACACACACACACACACACACACACACACACACACACACACAGCTAAAGATTATGGGAGTGGAACCTCAGCCAAAGTGTGCAGGTTCTGGGGAGATTTTCCACAGACTGTCTCTTGTGTTTGAATGACACAGTTGGATTCCTTTGCCTTCAGCTCTTCTCCTCACCAAGCTAGAAGAGAGAGTGAAGCTGTGTGTCCTAGCTGAGGCACATGGCATTGCCAGCTGCCTCCTCCCTCCCTCCCCATCCCACTTTATTTACCATGCTAGATAAGGGGAGAAACTCAAGTCAGACAAACTGTGTGAGCACAATAGTGACAGTGCCGAGCGGCAGAACCGTTGTGTGAGTCCCAGTACCCTGCCTTGAAGTGTCTTTCCATGTACCATGGCTATTTCCCCTTTGGTATAATGGCTTTAATATTGCTTGACTCTTTATTCTCTTGAAAATTTTGGTTTATGTTATCTTTAATAGTTGTCTAAATTTATTAAACATTTCAAAATATTGTGTTCATTCAATGTAAAAAATCTTTAATAAACTGATTCCATATGGAAAAAAATTTTTTAAAAGATTTACCTGAGCCTGGTGGTGATGGTGCACGCCTTTAATACCAGCACTGGGAAGGCAGAGCCAGGCAGATCTTTGTGAGTTCAAGGCCAGCCTGGTCTATAGAGCAAGATCCAGGACAGGCACCAAAGCTACACAGAGAAACCCTGTCTCGAAATCTGCCCCCTCAAAAAGATTTACTTTCTTTTTAATTATTTGTATGTTGGGGCGGGTGGTATGTACACGTGAATGCAAGTGCCCTTGGAGGGCAGAAGCCGCAGTTCCCTCTGAGAGCTGGAGGTATAACTCATTGTGTACTGCCCATTGTGTGTGCAGGGAACTAAATTCAGGTCCTCTGTAAGAGCAATATGTGCTCTTAACCACTGAGCCATCTCTCCAGCCAGTAAACTTATTAAGAATATTCATTTACTGACTTGCTATCTGATATAGTATGTAAAATTTCATCCAGGAATAACTAATCTTTTTTCTTTTTTCTTTTCCCCTAAGACAGGGTTTCTCTGTGTAGCCTTGGCTGTGCTGGAACTCACTCTGTAGACCAGGCTGGCCTTGAACTCAGAGATTCACCTGCCTCTGTCTCCTGACTGCTGGGAAGGTAGGTGCCACCATGTCCAGCATCATAGTCTTTTTTTTTTTTTTTTTTTTTTTTTTTTTGGTTTTTCGAGACAGGGTTTCTCTGTGTAGCTGTGCGCCTTTCCTGGAACTCACTTGGTAGCCCAGGCTGGCCTCGAACTCACAGAGATCCGCCTGCCTCTGCCTCCCGAGTGCTGGGATTAAAGGCGTGTGCCACCACTGCCCGGCCTCATAGTCTTTTTTTTTTTCTTCTGAATGGCGTTTATTGAAGGAGGGAGGAGGTTTTAAATACAGGCTTACAACACAATGG